AGTAAGTTAACTGAGCTTGCTAGCTGATACGAGGAAATGCGCTCCACGGAGTGACCCACGGTGATCTGGTGATGAGGATGTGTAGACGAGCCCCTTCAGCTAGAATGTGTCCAGTTCAACTAATGAAGTCACCATAAATGTCAAAGACTTAAGGAACTAATTATTTTGAGGATCAATGTGCCGCAACATGTTGATTTCAGTAAAATCGTATGTTCCATGTACATAGCTTTCTTGCGAACATTGTCTTAAATCGATAAGTTCATTGCCAATCCATACTAATAATGCATCTACAACTGCAAAATTTGTTGGTGTTCTAAAAATGCATTTTCCAATGAATATTACTTGTTTCTCCTACAGTTCTTAAGCGGTAATGGATGCCTAAAACATATTACTCTGACTGCACACTTTATCTTAACTGTCTTAAAAATGTCATTTCATCAGTTATTTGTTTCTACAAAAACGATAATGTTTAGCTGCTACGATTCTTCATTGCTTTCAACCTTAAAAATCAATGTATGTAGGGTTGTGATGTAATTCGAGCTGTGAATTTAGGCAACTATGTACGCTTGCGACTAAATTAGTCACTCTTATTTCGATTAACAATTCTCTACGCACATCGTAAAACACAATTTATGAGAAAAACTATATTTACTTACTTACTTACTTACTTACGCCTGTTATCCACAATGGAGCATAGGCGGCCGACCTGTTTTCTCCAACCAACTCTGTCCTGGACTCATGAGAAAACTAGCACTTAACCTATCAAATAAACTGAAGTCAAAGGGGCGGAATGTTTCAGAATTTTGATACCATAGAATTTCTGTTGACAAATGTAATCACAAAAGTATATCTTTTATCTATGGTATTCAATGAGTTTACTCCTATATTGGTAGATGAAATTTAAACAAATTAACTAAGCTCAATAGAAACTGAATGTACAATTGAAGAACAAAAGCAGCAATGTAATATTGTGAATAATTTTACATCATGAATTTGTAATGGGATGTTTACATGAAGAAGTAATAATGGCGTATGAAATAATTAGAAGTTACTTATTTCATCACATTTTATTATTTATTTCAAATGATTGATAACCTCATGAAGGAAGTGCAACATTAGAATGAATAAAGTTTCTAGATGAAGTACAGAGTAGTACAGAGAAGTTGCTCGAACTCACTAAACTACTATGAAATGAGTTAAGTGCATGAAGTACTGTTCGTATAAACCTTTGTCTTCAAAATAATCATCACTTCAATATGAATCGTGATTCTTGCAAACTCAACTGTAAATTCATTGAGTTTATTGATAGTGGAGAAAATTATGCACGATTATTTAATTGAGCATTAACAACTTATAATCTGACATGAGATTTCATTATATATTCACAATTTTTGAGTAAATGTCGCTCTCAGCCATGCTTACAAGTATACATAGAATACAAAAACATAGATCGTTGGAAAACATTTTTATACCAAACTCTGTCGAGGTTGGTTTGATCAAGGTCATGATATCTGGTAATGACAACAACAACTGTTCTCCTTTACTTTTATGGACTAGATACAATATGACTAGTAATGAAATCCATGTCAAGCATTTCGTTTATTTGTGGGTTTTTGGTTCGACGTACCTCTATTTCAAAGTTGATATTCATTCCATGATTAGAGCCTAGTTTCTCTTTGCTTTCAACATACAACGCATTATTCATTATTTAGTTGTGTCCAGAATGGAATTCACTCGAACATTGGGCATAAATTTTATATCAATTTGTAGCATATTCATTATAGTGTTATGGAGATCGGTGTTCACCACTGAACCCATGAACCAATCATTGTTAGAACACTATTAGAAACCTGGATAATCAATATTAACACACTATGTGGAAAAGATTAAAAAAGATCTTTTCTTAAGAACTAAGCTGACTGTTTAATGGATTAATTTTTATTGAAAAAAATGATATCTTAATGTTACATTTCAGATAAATGATGAATAGTAAATAAACTGTATTGTTACCGTTTTCTGCCCTGTCTTATTGATAGATTCTCACTGAAATCTGAACACCACTGTAGTATGAGATGTAATTCTTGTGACATTTGTCTTATGTTAACATCGACACTGTGAAAGCATCAGTTGTGTATGACTGAAAAATTGACAATCATTGTACAGCTGAAAAGTTTTACCGGCGGTGATTTCTACTTAGTTCTAACAAGTCTATCCTTATATTAGGCCGAGCTATTCAATTGTCAATAAACGATGAGGACATTGTACACTTTATCTACTATGTTGAATTGATATGCACATGAAGCTTTTTTCCGAGACCAATAGAATTGAAGTGAATTATTATAGTATTACATCGAAAACAATAAATATTATTTTCAAATTCATTAAACAATCTCAGTTCAAAAAAATCTTCATTATTTTATGCTTTAACAATGCATTTCAAAGACAAAAGGGATATTTTTCTTTCAACCCACTCATATTGAAATGAGGTCATATTTCAATTAAATTTTTCAACACAACATAAAATTCTCGTTGGATTGTTTTCATGCTTACTTAAATGAAAGTAATTTCGAAGTAGAATTCCCAGTTCTTTACAAACATGCAAGCGTAAATAAACATTTTCTGCCAAATATCCTAAATAGAATTGAAAAAGTTTTTTTTAATTTTTTTTCATTTCATCCTCTTCACAGTGATGTTATTTAATAGTTAGTATTAGTAGTAGTAGTAGTAGTAGTAATATAAAAACTATCTAATTTTCTTCCATTTGAGTTGATGGACAGTTATTGCTGAAATATTTTACAAAAATTCAACTATATCTTTGTTAAGTATCATAAATAATTTTATATATATATATATATATATATATATATATATATATATATATGCATAAGCACGAACAGTAATCATGGCTCACTTAACAAAGAATTTTCAATCAAGACTAATCCTAATTGATATAGAATTGAGAACATTAAGAAAAGATATTATTCGGCAAAAATTATTTTACGGTGAATTAATATGGATACATTTTTAAGGGTCAGAATTTATTAACTTTGATAAACCAAGGCAAAATAATAATCTTGAATAATTTAAGAATAAATAATCTCACTACATGATTGAATCAAACTGAATAACGGCAAGTGTCAATATCTTATTGGTTTTCAATATGTACTATGTTGTGATGAACAATCAAGGAACCGCATATTTACTCCAATCTGTTTTGAATTCGCTGTAATTTTCACCGGCGTTGATAATGAAACATAAAATAAGAAAGACGGTTTAGGCAAAGAATTTTCTCTTCGATAAATTCATATTTATATACCTCCTGTATTTTCAAAATGGTCATAACGGTAATATAATAGTGATGGTAAAAAATGCTGCTCAATGCAGTAACAGATAAAATCAATGAGGGTACAGGAATGTTACTTTTGCTATGGGAACTGATAATATTGTTATTTTGAGAGCTTAATTGCAAAACAAAAGACTAAGCGTCATAAAATAGAATGATGAAATTGAGATGAAATATAATGGAGAACCAGAAATAAGTTCGTTCAGTATCATAAATCTGAAGGGAAGAAAGAAGATGCCAGAGAAGTGGAGAACTGTGAAAGAGAAGAGAACAAACTTACAAATGGTTAAGACCATGGGGAATGAAGAGGTTGTGCAAGTTTGTTTTGTGAACATAATTCTGGTTTTTTAAAATATATAGCGAATACAAACTTCTGCCGTGTAGATAAATTTTATTACTTAGTTCGTTTAGATCGAATAAGCTGCGGTTTCCACTTTTTCGGCAAGCTGGATGATATTTTCGAATTCTTGTATGATAAAATACACATCGAGCAACCTATCTATCAGACTCCACATGACAACGCAAATCTGTAAATCCACATAGAATTGGTGAAACAAGAGAGTTTATGTTTCAGATTGTTCGTGAACATTCACCAATGGATATTATTACTGCTATTATTGTCATTACTAGTATTTTGGAAAAATACAGTGTTGAAAATAAATTTGTCAAACAGAACACGCTTCAATGAGCAGATCTTTTTGTTTCATGTTTGCTATTATACTATTTACTTCTGTTAACAACTCAACGATCTTATGTACTAACTAATACACATACATATAAATAATGTTAGAAATGTTACAGTCATGAAGAGGTATCACTTTTGCTTATTTTTTGACGTTATTATGAACTAGATATACGATCATTACCAAATTTTATTGATTCTTTGACTAATATCTATTTATAATAGGAAACGTACTCAACAGTGTAACCATCATTCGGATCACTATCGAGAATTGACTAGATACTTTCAAATAAGATGAGAACACTAAGTAAACTGCAAACACGAAGTGAATGATGCATTTATCACATTTCAATGAATAAGAAATTAAACTTCTACTGTTTCAGGATTTAATATCAGTTGTTTTGTCTGGAAATAAATTAAAGTGGCTATTTATTTGTCAGCTAAGCAGTCTACAATAAGTCAAAAAATGACAGAAATTTTACACTTTTTTTTTATTAAATTGCCTTTAGTTTCGAATAAATTCAAAGTATTTATGAAGTCCAAGGTAAAATTTCAACTGAACTGATAACCGATTCCATTAAAATAAACTTCTATTTTTTGATTATCTTTAGAAAAATAGACGGACAATTTCATGGAAAGTCTTTAATAATTTTGCATTAATGAACTAGCATAAGTAATTTTATGCCATAGTACAAACATTTACATTTTATTTCTTCATTACTGATGTCTATTTAAACTGCTTGATATGGGACTAGTTCAATTCTGATTGGTCAGTTAGGAATGACCCTGGGGAAATTATTTTTATTTGCCATTGATGAATAACCAAAATCCATATGTATGCTGATGATGATGTTATTTTAAGAAACAGTTACTATGTAAACGTGTTCATTCATTATTCAATACTGTTACTGAAACTATGGTTTACTTAAAAATGTATGTATAATTCATAATTAATAAATGTAATTAATGACACACATGCACAAAAAGTCAAATACAAGTTTATTTCATCCAGTATTAATTAATTTAACGACACATTTACTGCATAATATCATTGGGAATAGAAATAGTTCACAAAATTTTAACTGTTTAACACTACAATCTATTGATTATGAACATAAAGAAAATCAAATAGAAGTAGTGTTACAATTCAATATCATTTCTGGATTGTCTGCATCGATCAATAACTCTTTGATTAATAATAATAATAATAATGATACGTATAAAGAATGTGATTATGCACATTTATTGACTGATAACTTAGCAAAACAAACAACAGAAAGTGAAAGAAAATGTAAGTTTGGTTCTTTAAACTTACTCTGTTCACTAATTATTGTATTGTGTATTACAAAGGTTTTCGCTTTAAAATTAATAAAATTAATTGTTGGGAGACTATAAACAAAAGAGAAGTGTAGGTTGATCGATTGAACGCCCAAATTGAATAGCAACTTACCATCTAATTTTTTGTCTAAAAAGCTGATTGATGGTAATCATTCATTGAATGATGAATTTTATCAGAGTATTAGTGAAAAATTACAGTTATACTCTAAGCATAAGTTGTAAATTGTAAGTTCACTAACATTTCGAATCTTTGCAACAAAATTTTTTAACGAAACCAAACACACCGAAAACACTGTAGATCTTCAATTTGATTCTTAGTAAGGTTGTAGATAAAAAATGCTAGGGAATCATGTATTAAAAGTAAATATTTTGTCTATCATTCAACATTATTCAATGTGTGTTTTCATCTGATATCATTGTTCTATTTTCAATTAATACTAGTAGCACTGAAACTGAAGAAATTTATTTCGTTCTAATTAGGATTATTCAGCTGGATGGATCTATATCACTGTGTATCAATTCTTAAAACTAAACAATTTAAAATTACAAGCCATTACTATTTAAGTAGGTTATTCCTTAGTACAAGGTAGTTACATTGCGGCAACTAATTGTAATATTGACATATTTCTTATTTGTTTGTTTTTCCTTCACTACTTCATAACAATTGCCTTGACAATTTTGATGAAACTCCAAACATAAGGTTAATGTGTTATCAGTGACATTTTAATTTTATTATCTAGTTGAACTGAATAGAATGTTTGTTATTTACTGATTTCAATCAACTGATTAATCACGTGGAAAACAAATATTTTATGAGAAATAAATGGCAGCATAATTTTTCGAATATGAAGAGATTCATGGATTTTTGTAGTCTTTACAGAATAAATCTTAGCTTAATTAGCTTTGAAAACCTCAGATCATCGAGCAGTCATTTCAGTTAGCATAGAGCTCAGCAACATTACACATTCACAACCTCACATTCACGAATCAAACTAAGTGCTTCCAATTTGTCTATAATGACTTGCCTAAGTTCTTGATTTAATCTCCCTTCTTTCTGTTTGTTTGCAATTTGTTTAGTTCGCTGACACAAATTTTCAATGATAAGCAGTTTGAAAAACGTTGGATAAATCTGTTGTATCAATATTAAACCTTTGAGTTATCCAGTTGCTTCTATTAAGTAACACACTTTGACATAAATACCACTGACGGGTTTGTTTGATTGACTGTTGATAAATTATCATCTATAGATTGTTGGAATGAACTTTTTTCTTTCATAAGTGTTGAGTTCTGTTTTCTTTCAACAAATTATCTATTTGGTTTATTAGAGATTTATTTGCACACGTTCAGTGAAACAGTTTATTTTAGCTGTACAGTTTCGATTAGGTAGTGTAATTATATTTACTTTTCATATTTTATACTGAAGTAGTACATTTAAGATTTACTTGACTTCACGAATCTCTCGCAAAACTTCATGCAAAGTAAACGAAAGGACATTAATATCCATTATCATGATTGCGATAATTTTAAAATTGAAATAATTATGATCATTAATTTTGGGCGGTTTATTTCGAACTCTGAATGTTGATAATTGAAGAGTTCACATCCTTTTTTTTATAAATTAATAACTAGAATAAACAATTAGCTAGTACTATGACTACGTACATTGTGTATATTTGAAACGAATTACAATTAATGAGAATAAAGTTGAACAAGTACTCATTTTCGGTAACCTACTATTGTATTTAAAAATTAGGATATACATTTAAACAATATGAAAGATTCTGATTGTGAAAATTAGAACAAAACATATAAGCGAACAATAGTGTTGTTTTCGATTAGATTGTCATCAGGCTTTACTCTAATATACATGAATATTTGTACGAAAATGTTTGACCAATCAAGGCAATTTGAGTCAATAACCACAATGAAATGAAATAAATTACGTCACTACACATAATAGGCAGAAGTACAAGTTGATAGTAGGAAGACAGGTGCATTGATAGTAGTAAGAAAAGTAAAATACGATGACAAAAGTTTTATCAATAGTAGGTCAAACGTGGATAAATTAACTTACAATAATCATTACAAAACATTAAAACCATTGCGTAATAAGAAGTATGTACATAATTAGATAGTGAAGACTATAACGTGGAAGAGGCAGAGAATTACTAAAAAATATAGGATGTGAAAATAATGCTAATGATAACAAAATAAAATTTAAACCCAAAAAGAAAAAAAATGTTTTAATCTTAAATCGTTAGTTACGTCGTATCCGGCCACGGAAGAGATAGGAGTGTCACGAATTTCTTCTGAACACATAAACTGGGATTGAATGTACGAATTCCAATCGCTTTTGCTATGTGTAGGAGACGGGATTGAACTCCATTGGGAAATGATTGAGGTATACGATAGATCACCCGAAAAGATGTAAACTTACCTACAAAATATGACCACTATCAACCAGGTGTACTAAGATAGAACTGCGTATTATTTTTGACTGACCCCTCTTAAACCATGCTGGGAGATGTTCAGTCATCCCTTGGTTAAGTTGCTATCTCCACAGGAGCAGCCGAATTTGTAAATGCACATAGAGGAGGCCAACTCAGGTAACTTATCCTTCGTTTTGAGTAGATATCGCTGGTCGACTTGAGAAGGTCAACGCAGTTTTGGCTGCATTGAATGTTCTACTAGTTGCTCTCAATAATCTGTCCTTCAAAGTATCTCAGGACACATCTCCGTTGAATTGTAGTTTAATAAATAAATGCTTCTTTCGGACGGTCGAAATTACTGACTTCTTTTTTACATCAACCATATACTTCCTTAAGAATGCTCTGAGGTAGCCGATCTCGGCCCACTTAATGAAGCTATTTAGAATCTTGATCTATATTGCCGGCACGTCGATGACACATTCATCACTGTAGACCAGAACATCAACAAAGAAAAACCCAGTGACTTTCGATTCAAACGCCTAACGCGTTAATCACTAAGTTCAGTTACTAAGTTCAAATAAACGCGGAACTGTAAGTTGCATCAGTTGTTTGAATTTCAGCGTCCTGGATTCCACTGTCAGTCACTGTTCAGCTTTGACTGAAAATAATAGACATATGCCAAATATTTCTGATTAGTCATTATCCTTAATAACAACATGGGGGATATTCACACCTTTTTAACGGATTTTTTTCTCAGAATAAGTATTAATTTCTGAAGATGATTCCATCATAGAAATGAGAGTTTTTTGATTCGTTTACAATTCATACAATTAAGCGAGTGATTATTTCGCAATGATATTTAGAAACAGTCACTTGATCAAGTATATGAAGATAAATATCTTAAAAATCATTATCAAACAGAGATGTACTGGACAACAATAACGGTTAGATAAGATTAACATACGGGTTTTTCAGTGATATGTACAAACCACCGTATACATGACATATGCCAATATAACGTTAACAATGGTTTAGAGTTAGATAAATGGTATGTCATCAATATGTAACTTATTTTAAGAATCATTTATATGGTTAACTAATTACAAAAGTTTTGAAAACACTTTATCGGAAAGTGAGAGCCGTAACAAGATAGGAAATAACTGGATGATGTAATATTAATTGAGGAAGCGGGAGAATCAAACTGAATCAGGTATTCAAAACAATTGATCTAAAAAATGTGATGTACATTTCGAACAATCTGTTAACAAAGACGGAGACTAAAAGCAACCATAGAGAAAGCATACAACGCTGATAAACTGATTATCATCGAAAAGATTAAGCCCATGATTTCACACAGACCTAAACGTTGCTCGAATGATTACATCGTATCCCATTGTATTTATCAATTAGCATGTTTGTATGGACACACATAGGGTGCAGTAATCGGACTTTGCAATCAAGGGTTATGGAACATGTACTTAACTAGCTTCAAAATCAGTTAACGTCAGATGAGCCGATTAGCGTTGGAAATAGAAAACCTTGTTCGTCGATCGCAAAACACATAACTGAGACAGGGCATAAGATTGACATCAAGACAGCCTTCAAAACATTGTATAGAAATGTTGAAGGACGAATTTTGAGGTTTATGGAGGCCTTGGCTATTAGAAAGTTAAAATCCCCTTACGTGCGCAGAAATAATTTTTCATAACCTTGAATTTACCTTGGTAATCTTTGAGCCTAAGGTAATGTGACAATTTTCCTACCCCTTCTTATTCTTTTCATATTACGTTAATTTATTATCACCCTATGTCTACTTGAACTTTTATTTAATTGACCTTTTATTCATCTTCATATAAAATGCCTTGACAAGTAAATATGTGTGACCAGATTGTTCGAAATGTATAACGCAATATACATCACATTTTTCAGATCAATTACGTCTTCTCACTGTTCTAACAAAATGAGTCAGGAATGATTAAAAATCATAATATCTTTTAATAACAGCACTGAATCCGATGCTGTGCAAATAAAGTGATCAGAATAAGGCATACTTTTGTGATAACAAAAGTTATTAGAATAGAATTATAAACAATCATAATTGTGAAATATTAGCCACGGAATTTAGGTTCTTTCACAATAAAGCAACATATTTTGTGTTTTTGTACTTGTTTATGCAGATGAATACTAAACATTTATTATTAGAACTACTATGCAACTTGTTGTATTGTGGGTGTTCAACACTGCAATTGATCAGTTATTTTTGGCAAATGTACTTCTTGAACGAATTTGTTTCAATGCTGTCATCAAGTTGTGCGAAATTCAGCTAATAAATATTTGATCATGGAAATATTTTAAGCTCTAATAAGCTCTAATGATAAAATAATTAACATTTATTCTCAGTTTCAAGGAAGTTTTTTTTTTCATACAAACCACTTGTAATAGTTTTAATATGACGTGACAATACACTAATTTCTAATTAGTAAATAAGTCTTTATGCAATATTCAAGAAATCGGTTATGAATTTTCTTCACCAAACGAGCTTCATACTGACTATCCATAAATGTTTAAGTTATTGTGTTTGACAAAAAACGTGAGACTATTTCAACTACACAATTTTTACTCCGTTCGGTTAAACAGTGAAGCTCAATTAAACTAAAAGAAATAACTTTTTTGAATTTTCTTGTGAACCTTTCGAAGTGAATATTCATTGAATCTAACAGTTTCATCAGGAATGATGACTGATTATCATCGACCATGATGTTATGTGAAGAATTAAATGAAGCTGAAAATGTGAATTGTGTGAATTGCAACCCAGTGATTATGTATCGATTCATGTTATAGTCATCTATGAGTGTTACTAAAGAGTTCACTAATAGGCGACAAACAGTTATTCATTCCTCTTCAGTCTTCACTCATTCTATAATTGAAGTCAATCTCAGACTAAACTAATCTTAATAGCCAAATTTTACCTTCAAGCATACATTTTCAATAATTTTGTTTATACACTTGATTACTGATATCAAGCAGTAATGTTTAATTTTTCGACAAACTTGTGACTGAAATTTAACTCATCTGTATTGATGTTGATACATGTCAATAAGTGACTTATGCAATGAAACTGCTACAATCCAATGATTCATTGGCATAATTGTACAAGTTCACATCTTCATAATCGGCTCCATCAAAATGATAAAACAAAATACACTTCAATTGGTGTATGGTGAACAAACAGAAGTAAAAATAACGAAATTTAAACTTACTTGTAAATACACAAAAAGAAAAATGAACTAGATGCATTCATATCCCTAAACAATTCTATTTTAATATAGAAAAAGAAAATACAATGAATGACTAATCACAATTGTATACTTCAATACATTTAATTGATTTAATGCTTCTTTTAACTGTTTACCTTTTTTTTTGTACTGAGTATAACTAAAAAAATTATGATAACATCAGTATTTATTTTAATTGAATTGAACAGTTGCAGTAAATTTCAATAAACAGAAAACCTGTTCACAAAATATGCTACTTACAATATTCCATAAAGGTATCTGATAGCTACACATATATATAAACTTATTCAGCCCATGAATCCGTACATTTGTATGTTGTTGATTATTGTAAGTTTCAACAGTCAATGATAGATTATGATGTTATTCCTATTATTTCATGAATACAATTTCAACAGTGATTGATTTTAGCGATCACATTGATCATAATCATCGCTTTACAAATAAATAAACGATTCTTTACATCAGTGATTTACAATTTTGTATATCTGATAATATACTGTCATGTGATATACAAAGCAAAAGAATGAACAGAGTGGAAGGTTCATATTTCATGAAATAACACACTGGTTCAAATGTTGCCTAATACTTAAAACACCTGTCTACAACCATGTTCATGATGATGTCTAAAATATCACCACAAACTCCTAATGGTAGTCTTAATTACTGTACACAAAGCATTCGCGAACCTTGTAACTCAGTGTTGTTGTGTTTTTTGCTAAAATTGGAATATAAAAAGCCTTATTGTTTTGGCAGTTGGTCAGATAATTTAACAATCTAAAATGTGGATTACATTTTATTTATTATTGTTCAACTAGAAATTAGTTAGATAACACTAAAACTACTTATTTATCAACCAATAATACCAATAGGTGGTGTAAAATAACGAACAAAATATTTATAAATTATTAAATCCCAATAAATCCTAGGCAACCAATGAAACTGACCAGTCAGTCATCCCTTATTGATTCACAACCTTATTGTAAATCTGAGAGACTCTATGCTGGACGGTTGGATGTGTTTCAATAATATACTGAATGAAATAACTAGGCAAATTATAAAAATTGATCATTAATTAAAAAACACCATAAGTTGGCATGAAGCCTATGCATCAGTGGTTGATTCCTATTGGTAGATAGCTAACAACAAAAATAACTTAAGTGAAAACAGTTAATTTGCCAAAATATTTTGGTAAGCGTTGTTCATAAGCGAATTAGCTGGGAAAACAATCCTAGAAAGGAAAATATATGAACCAATATTTCCTTGGAAGATCTTAACTAGACCGCCACTAAAGCCCAGGAGGGAAATGATATCTGTCCTGCCCTTTCATGGGAATCACAGTAAGTGGCAACTCTTGAACTCCCTACAAGTAATCGAAATTGGGATATTTGGCGCTACACTTAAACCAGTAATGTTGTATCCAATGGTGTATGAGACTAACTTCGATGAATTCACGATACGGCACGACCAGCCACAAAGAAAAATTCCGAAAAAATAACACATAACCCAGAGAATCTGACATAGACATCATTATCATCAATAACACTGTATAACAGCTGGAAATTACACCTAAGGACAGAGTAACTTGAAAATTCCTAATATGCATCTTATAACATCATGAGAGGTAACAGTGATTAGTAAAGGAGTAAAGTGAGTTGTTTAAAATAATAGTATTGAGCAAAGTTCGGAAATGATCGACATCAATAATTATTAATGATTTATTTTTTAATTTTCTATTTATTTCTAGCTCCATTTGTAACAATTGTGGTTTGTTGCTGTATACTGACAACATTTTTACTGATGGTTCTTTTTCTCCGATGCCGGTAAGTATTTTCCAATGTTTACGTTTATCAAACTCGACATTTTTTGTAATTATTTTTTGGTAAATCTCCACAAAGTGAATTTGATGATCTTTTTTACTTACCACCCGACCGTAGATGCTACCTCGATGTGATTGTTGGGCTTGTCCATCTTGATAACATAGTCGAGCCGCATTGGCTGAAACACTTATTACATTAGCTCTTATCATGCCAAGTACCTATGTTGAGTAGAACAGCAGTATTCAAAGTAACGACTTGAACCCATGTGTCAACTTTTAAGTTACACTTGACTAACTAACTGACTGTTTTTCTGGATAATGTTTAAAAACTACGAACAAGAAGGCAGCAATCAACATCAGCGGAACAAGAGCAGAAAAATCTAGGGCACAGGCTGAAAGCTCAGAATCATACAAGCAAATTAAGATGAGCATCAGAGCGGACAAGCTTTAAAATGTGGAAGATCTAGCAATGACAGCAGAAACGGAAATATAAGATAGCTGTCTTAAACCAAAACGAATAGTGAAAATTAAGAAAGGCGAATTATGCAGCAAAATTGAAGAACAGCAAAACAGGTGGGTATAGCTTTTTAGGATCTCTTGAATCGACCAGCCCCACTGAGTCCACCCAGTATCGAATCAGCATCCACGGACCTCCAAATTGATGTTGGCCCATCAAAAACTCAGGAGATTTCTATGGTCGTTAGACATGCCGAGAGAGGCAAAGTAGCGTCACCAGACTACATACCAAATGGAGCACTGAGAATAGATGTAACGGCATCTGTAAAAATATTCCACATTCTCTTCAACAAGATTTGGGATGAAGAAGTTCCAAAAGACTGTACAGAAGGATAGATGATCAAAATACAAAAAGAAGCGATCTCACTATGCGCGACAACTACAGAGGCATCAGTACCAGGTTAAATCTTCAACAGATTGTTGTTACACAGAATGGAGGATTTCGTAGATACCTGACTTCGAGATAGACAGTCTACGTTCCGTAAGGATCGATCATGTGCCGATCAGACTTCGACATTTTGGATCATTCTAGAACGATCGACTGAATGGAATTCACCCTACACTGATGTTGTGGACAGGATGACACTATGGAATCTTCTTTGACTGTACTGCGTGCCCGTGAAAGTAGTCAACATTATATGGAGTACTCATGATGGACTAAGCTGCAAAATTGTTCACGAAGGACAGCTCACAGATTTGTTCCAAATGAAGACCGGTGTCAGGCAGCTTTGCTTACTCTCACCGTTTCTCATTCTTCTGGTCGTCAACTGGTTTATGAAGACTTCAACATCTGGGAGGAATTACGGATACAGTGGACAGCTCGTAATTATTTGGACGATTTGGACTTTGCAGGTGATCTGGCTCTTCTGTCGCACACGCAACGATGTATGCCAGAGAAGATGATCATTTTAGCAGTAGCCTGAACAGCAGTAGGACCCATCATACAAAAAAGGAGAAACAAGATCCTCCAATATAACACAACACGCATTCATCGAATCACATTTGAAGGAGAAGCTTTGGATGATGTTGGAACCTACACACATCGTCTGATTTGAGGCTCTTCAGTTTCATTAACTTGTATACCAGTCTTGCTATCCATTCTGAGATTAGAACCCAGTAACTTCCATTTCAAGCATCTGACAATTTATTTACTCATTCCGCATAGACACTGAATTGTACCACAAGTATGTATTCTAATTCAGTTTGTAATTTGTATCAGATTATCTTTGTTGTTGATGCTTCGCTTGCATTTCAGTCAGTCTTAGTTTTCGTATTTTGGTCCTATATCGAATGCCTAGATGCCATAATCAATCACAAAAGTTTTTAAACAGATTTCTATAGTGATTGGCAGTGAAATCCAATACCAGATATGATGGCATAGATGATACAACCAACTAATGAGTCCCTAATAGGAGATTTTTGCGTCCTCGAATTCACTTCTATCGATATACAATAAATACTGTAAAAATGTGTCACATTTTCTCTATATCAAGCCAGTTCACACAAGATGTTCATGTACTAACTCTGGTCAAAATTAAAAAAATGAAATTATTACCGTAACTCCACATCCTCTCTAGTTACCATAGCATAAGATCCGCTGTAACCTTAAAGTGCACAAGGAGGATTTAACTAGTTGAGTGTACCTTAGTTCTACTTTAATAAAGGTCACGTGTAAATAAGAAAATATCTTGATAAAGTGATTTTTAAAAAATATATATACATTTTTTAACAACGTACCACTATTGTAGAGTGGTTCAGTACAGACCAGACAAATACCAATGTATAAGCTAAAAGATTAATAGAGGACTGAGATAAATTAGCAAACTAATTATCTATTATTATTAACAGAATATTAATATTAACAGAAATACTTCGATTACAATTTCATTCCTTTTTTGATTATTCAAAATAGCCGGCACACTGTAACTCATTATTCTCGACAATATTTCCTATATCCAATTGATTTGTGGACAAATAACTCAATTAGTAATTAAAAAAATTAAATTTTCGGATTGTTCAAATAAATGTGTGTCAGTCGAATGTATCCCCTAGAGAAATTTCGAAACATGAATGGCTTCTGAACAACGTCTCATTAGTGATTCACGTATTAGTTAATTTTTGGTATGAAGTATAAAGAAAATATATTTTTCTTTCTGATTCAGTTTAGAATGAGTAGATTTCACTATGAACTTTAAAACTGAAACATTCAGTTACTGAATGTTGTGTTTCAAAAATCTAGATCGATAAAGCCCAAGTAAATATTTTTTCAGAGATTGTTTGACACTGAGAGTGTCTCAGATCATAAACAGGCTGATCGGCATCAGTTAGCTCTATGCTGAATGTAACGGATACTTTGGAGAATAATATAATTGGTATTCTCTTAGAAATAGTCATAATTATATGCGCATTTTTAAGTACTTAAAGTAAAATTTGTGTTGCAACCCAGGATTCATTAATGTTTTCGTATTTTTCGTATTAAAAAGAAACATCATCTATGTTATTATATATTAAATGAATGCAGTTTTTCAGTAAAAGTCAGATATTTTGCTGTTGAAAAATGCTCTTGTTAATCCACTTACCATTCATGATATTATTATTACTTTTAAGGTATTCAACAAAATTTCATTTACAACTCTGTTTACTAAAACAAGCTCTGTCATTGAATAGCTCTAATGTTTTGAAATTTAAACGGTAATAACATTTAACATTTAAAAATGAATAAACGCTTTCTGAGAGATGGGAAATTCGGTTTTTCATGAACAGAATGATTAAGAACACTCCTGAGGTTATTTTGATTCAAAACAAAACCAGTTTAATAGTATTGGTTAGGCATTGTTGAGTATTTCAGTCAAAGACTAAGTAATACCTGTAGATTTTTTTTTAGCGATTTATTCTGGTGGTTAACGTTTATGATTGAAATTCGAATGCTAATTGTGATGAAAATGCTTCTGTATAACTGAAATAGTAAAAAAAAATTTTGTAACTTCAAGTTTACATGTTTTCATGTAAATTTTGATCACATATTTCATTGTTCACCTAGATACGTCTTAAATGGTCATTTGAACTGCCTTTTTTTCATGTGTGACCTTGATGTGTTAAACACAGAAAATTCAGTTTTCGAAACATTTCAACCTTTTATTGTATCATGTTTATTAGATAAAATAAAAGTCCTTAAAGCGAATTTAGAACTCACTGTAACTATATCTTTAGTACATGTTTTAGTTTGCTTAACAACTAGATGCCATGGTTGACAAGTTTTTCGCTTAAGATATTTCCTACCAGTAGGAATTAATTTGTGAAAGATAAAGAAACCTTTATTTCTGATTAGTTTTCAATTTAAAAGTGTTGAAAAATATCCTAAGAAATTGTGCAATGATCTATGAGCACATTTTCATTCTGTTCCGTAATTTTCTAATCATTTAACCGAACTCTGACAGTTGTTTATTAATCAGTGTTATAAATGTCAATAATATATAGTGTTCAGTTTTAAGTATTCACACAATGACGTTCAAAGTCGAAATAAACAGTCGATTCGAAATAACAAGAATCTGGGCCATGATGTAATTGATTAGAATACTCACACTGCTTTTCTGTATTTTACAATTCACAAATGATTAGAATAGTTACAAGTGATTGGTGAGTTCTAGCCAACTACACATTTGCTTACTAAACTATGAAAATAAATTTTTATATGGACGATAGAAACTTCGAACTAATGCTCAATTCAAATTTAGTAAGTTGAAAAGATTGACGAAAAAGAAATTTTCGCCTAGTAGTGAAGAAAATCTACAAAGTAACTATTGATTTTAATAACATAAGTTATCATAGTCAGGTTGTGTAATGACTGAATAAATTTTAATGGAATAGAAAGATTTTGAAAATTTTTTTTCGCTTATTTCATATTTCGGCTGAATTTATGCAGAGTGTAATTCGGAGTTTACTAATTACATTTATTGATCAATCAGTAATACAAAAGTTTGTATATTTATATTTTTTTCCTTAAAAGCATCATTTCATTTGATCTTGTGTAAAGCTTGGTCTGATTTTTATTTTATTTTTATTTTATTTTTTGAACATTGCCTTACACAACGAAGACTTTATTGAATTGATCATTTTAATATTTACTAATTGGCATTATACTTACTGCTAATAATCCTAGTGTAAGTAAATGCAACTTCATCGATTGCTTAGTTAGTTAGGATTGTATCGGTTATTTATTTATTTATTTTTTTCACATTAAAATGTCATACATAATATACAATGGAAATTTGACATTAAACAAATGTATTTTATAAAAAAAAAACTAAACGAGAATATTTATTCTATTTAAAGGCAATAATATTTGGCACTATACAAAATAGCTTCATAGATATTAGCAAACAGTAATGCATAATTCTTTTTCATAATCTATAATATAATTCAAATAACGATGCTGAATTGGTCAAATTCACTTATTCACATTTAACGGTTTCACTATTTTTATGAGTT